TATATTGAAAAAAAAAAAGTTATTATCATTCATATGCTATATCCTTTGTAAAAATATAAGCTAAAATTAGGAGAAATAATTATAAGGTTAAAACCCCATTCTGGTCCCTAAAATATTGTATGGACCTTCGATTTGGTCTTTATACTTAAAAAATTCTTGATTTGGTCCTTACTGTTTACTATTTTTACCTCGATTTGATCATTTCGTTCAAATTTTGATGATGAGGCCTGTTAGTTCACTGTTATAAGATGGCATGTCAAACATTAATACACATAGAAGATAATATGAAAAAAAAGTGATGACATGGAAAAATAATAATATAAAAAAATTAAATAAAAACTTAAAAAGTAAATTCTTTTCTTTTTCCTTCTTTTTCCCTTTCGCTTTTCCCTTTCGCTTTACCCTTCGAACCCAACAACTGGGCTCCTTGGAACCAAGCACGCCTAAGTTCGATGGAACCTAGGCGCTGGGTTCGGTGGAACCCAATGTGCGTAGGTTCCAAGGAACCCAGCACGCTTGGGTTCGATGGAACCCAGGCACGGGTTCCTTCGAACCCAACAACTGGGTTCCACCAAACCCAGGATTTTTGGGTTTGAGTTTTATTTATTTATTATTATTATTTTGGTTTTGTTGATTGATGATGATGAAGAAGGCAAGGTAAGGAAGTGGAAGGAGAAAGAAAGGCTGCTATTGGGTTCGAAAGAATCCATGAGCAAAAATTTTTTAAATAAAATTTTGTTTTTTTGGTGAGTTTTATTGTTTGATGATGATGATGATGATGGACCTAGTAAGAGTAGAAATTGGTTGAAATGAATAGATTGGTTGAGATCTTAGGGTTTGCAGAGAGTTTGCAGAAGTTGAAAAAAGGGTAGATGAAAGAAAGGAAGGAAAAAAAAAAATTTTTTTTGGTAGGATGAGTTGGAATGGCCGTATCATTTATTTTTTGCCAACTTGGCAATTTTTTTGTGTGACATGTAATGTTTCTTCTGTATTTGGCCGTCAATTAACGTGAAAAATTAACGGAATTACCAAATTGGGATAAAAATGATAAAGAGTAGGGACCAAATCAATGATTTTTTAAGGTTAGGGACAAAATCATGGGTCTATATAATAGTTTAAGGACCAAAATGAGGTTTTAGCCTAATTATAATTATATGTACAAATAATTAAGAAGAGAGAATGTCCCTATATTCAAAAAAGGAAATGATTTTTGTATAATCTTTTTATCTTATCTTTTTATATAACCTGACGTGTCATTAAAATAATTATTTTTTTAATTCATGTGAAACATGTGATATTAAATGCATCAACTTATTTAATAACATGTGAAATTATATAAAAAAATAATATAAAAATGTTATTCCTCTAACACCACTCTATCCAAAATACTTATAAGTTAGTGTATGCCTTTTTGGATAATCAAGAGAAAAAATCTATAACTACCTACTTAAGACGGTTTTTTTCAGATCTCAAATCAGAGATAAGATTGAGGAACAATTCAAACTACTACATCCATTTCCCCTCTATATATAGCAACGCATTTAGATATATAAATCAATCTTTCTCCACATAAACCGCTAGGGGAAAAAAATCAAACCCTTTTGACGCTTTTTCTCTCTAGCTCCAGCTAGCTGGCCATGGATTCCAAGTTGGTTCTCGCCCTGGTTCTCTTCTCTTCGTCGGTGCTCCGAGTTTTCTCTGATGGGAACGCTGATCAGGCGGCCATTGCCGCAAACCTCAGTAAGAGCCTCGAAGGGATCCTTGTTCAAGCCAGTCCCGGAGGAGAAAACAGCACTGCCGGCGGTATGGTACCATGCATGCAGAAACTGATGCCATGTGAGCCCTACCTGCACTTCACTTCGCCGCCGCCCTCAACCTGCTGCCTGCCTTTGAAGGAGATGCTGTCCAAGGAATCGGAGTGCCTCTGCAAAGTGTTTACCAATCCTGAGTTGTTGAAGTCTCTCAATCTCACCCAAGAAAGTGCCTTGGCACTTCCCAAGGCTTGCGGCGCCAAAGCAGATGTCTCTGTTTGCAAGAATGGTAAATTAAATAATTCTCTTTGCATCTTACAATTTTTGAGGCTATTTTATTATTAATTAATTAATTAATTAATTAATTTTATTTTTAATTAATAAATCAATTCGACTTTCACATAATTATGGGCAAAATTATATATTAGGTAAATTTAAAGGCAAATTTAATTTAAAATTGATTGTAAATTTTAAATAGACTCTGTTACTTCTTGAGCCCCCCTTTTTTCTAAAACTATAATGAAATGCCCTTCATTTTTTCTTTTATTAAACCTGATCTGTTTATGAGTTAAAAATTAATCACTTTCTTCAAATTTCTTTTGTTTATGTTTGTTTCTCCGTATCAAATTGAGTAAAGGTGTGAATGTTTAAAAATTGGTTAGGGTGTTCAAAAATATTGGACTATAACAGAGCCTAAAACAAGTGTCTTTTGTGTATATGAAATTTCACTTTTTTACATAAATGATGGTTTCATCTAATTTGTTTTGTATATATTTTGTTTACTACTACAGCCTCGCCGGGCGGTTCATCGGCAACACCTTCCCCTGCCACCCCCACCAACGGTGAGTTAATTAGTCAACAATTATTCTAGTTATCATTTCAAAAAGAGATTAATGTTAATATTTTCCACATTATAATTTAGAATTGAGTTTTAATATCATTTTTCTTTGGATACATAAGTTACCAAACTTCCTGACCTTAACTCGTAATAAATGATTTAGTTTTGAGCTTTTTTTTTTTTAAGAATAATGTTTAATTAGTCATAATGGTCTAATAATTTTGTGGTAAAAACAGGTTCTTCGTCAGGCAACTCCACCACCGGCGGTTCAGGCAAAAAGAGTGCAGGTTCAAGGATGGTTGCTCATGCTTGGGGGTTTTTAGTTACTTCGTTTGTGGCCTTGATTATTTCAGCATTTTATTAATTAATTAGGTTACTTTCGTGTGGATTTTTTAGTCATAGAATTCATGTTCTTTTTTCATTTCAATTTAGGAGGACCAAAGTGATGGCATCGTATTTGAAGATTTTTGGTTCCTTATGTTAATGACAACTTTTTTTTGCGAGTAACAAGTATTATTTAATAAAAATCGAAGAAATCAAGTTCTAATTGTATTGCATTTTCAGTTTTTGTTTTTTTTTTTTTTAAACCTCACAATTCTCTAGTTATTTATTATTGTTTTCAAAAAGTGCAAAGCAATTCAAACTATACTAAACTACATTACACTAACCATTGGATGAGAGGAGAGTTTCTTCATTTAATGGTTTATATTTTACAATTCAATACAATTTAAACTATAAAATAGAACTCCCATATTGTTTTCTATATATTTGTTGGGGATTGCTTTCTCAAGGAATTAAAATAGTCACCATAGTGGCTAAATTTTGGTGTCAAAATCAAAAGGTCTTGCTCATCTGTCAGTTTGGGGGTTTTGATGCTGTGATTCTTTTTCTTCACAAGTTGTGTTGTTCCTAGAAATGAAAGTAAAAGAAAGATATATTAGTAAAAATAATTAATTAAAAATAAAAAGTAGAACAACCTTTCCTCAGGACACTCTACCCCACTACCTTTCCTTGCCCAAGAGAGTTTGAGTATAAAGTGCTATGTATGAAGAATGAGAGTGGAGATTATAGAAGCATTCCCTCACGTACCCGCAGTGACAGCCACGCTTCTCCAAAGTGAGAAGCAGGTGGAACGTGCTTTGATTCACAGGTTGAGTTTCAAACTCAACTTTCTTTGAATAGATATTAACATAATATTGTATTTTTTCTTGTTAAAAAAGAAGAAGAAGAGAGAGAGTGAAGATTATAAAAGACTGTGTAGCAGCAACCAGTAGAAATGGAGGCTGCCTATTTATAGGCCTCCAAAATGTAACCGAAGTTAATCTAAAATTTAAAATGAAACTTGCCGGTGACAAAGACAAGATTTGAAATGATTGGATGCATTTAATATAAAGGGTTCAAAAGAAATAAAAAAAACAAACAATTAAAAGAAAAAGTAAAGTGGAAAAAAAAAAAGAAAAAAAAAAACTAAAAAAAAACAATTCCCAAATAATTAAGAAAAACAAAGGAAGAAGAAAGAAAGAAATATTTTATACATTTGAAACCATTTGAATTTGATTCTTTCTTAAAAACAGAAACGCATGCCCATGTATGAGTAAAACGTTCCTATCTTTTTAATTAAAATCTATCACAAGTTGAACCACTTAACTTAGTCGGACTAAAAATAGTCATATTTCCTTCCTTTTAGCATGGAGGAAAGCAATTTTCAAGAGAAGTAATAAAAATATTAATAAAGTTTTCAAAATATTTAATAATAATTTTAACACAATTATTTTGAGATAAATGCAGTGCCACACATTAAAATTGATCACAATACATCCACAATATTTTAGATAATTGTTTATTTCATTGCTAAAATAGTTTTTAATAAGCAAACAAGAAAAACAGTTTAATGGTTATCTCTCCTCTAAATTGAGTAGGAGATCTGAAATTTCAATTCTAGGCTTGTATATGAGAGAAAGTTATTTTTTATTGTCTAACCCAAAATAAAAAAAATTAATAACATTTAATTATATGCTGCAGTCTCAATTACATTATGTTTGGGTTGAGAGGAATGGATGGGAGGAGAATTTTTTCCCTCTATTCCCCTCCCCAATATTCCCCTTTCCTTTTTTACTCTCATTTGAATAAGTAACTAAATGAAAAGAAAAAATAGAGTAAAAGGAATTTTTTCACTCCCCTCTCCTCCAATTTGTTTGATAACTAAATAAAGAAAATTTTCTCCCTCCCCTCCATTCTCCTCATTCCAAACACACTATTAGAGATTCCTACAAAACCTACTAGTATTTTGCAGATCTTAATGGTTTTTGGGTGAATCAATATTTTTTTAAAATCAACATTTTGCTCACTAAATTCATGAACTTGAAAAAATAGGCACTCAATTTTGAAAAAAAAAAGGTTTTTTCTAACTTACGCCTTAGAAGTGTGTAATTAATACATCTTTTTAACATTAATTAATATTAAAAAATTATAAAATCTAACATTAATTTCATTACTTATTACCTATACTATGTGGATTATTTTAATTGGACAATTAATTGAATAAAGATCAATTTTTATTTTTTTTTATAATAATTAATATTAAAAAAATATCACTAACCCGTACCTTAAACAAAGATGTTAGAAAAAACCTTCAAATGATTAACATGTTGATCACTTCAATTTTAATAGGGAACTGAATTTGGAACTCACACCCTTCCCAAAATCTCGGCACTTTCGTTTCTATGGCTTCTTATGCATGGTGCAACGAGGGATTCTAACGTGAGCTCAATTGGGCAGTAGCGGAGCCAATATATATATAAAGAATTTACTTATATATATATATATAAGTTTCACACGTTACACTCACAAAAAATTTTAATTATTTATGTATTTATTTTTTATTATTGAGATTTATTTATATTTATTAAAATAATTATTTTTTTATATAAAATATCATAATAAAATTTAATAATTAAAAGTGAAAAGAGAAATGATTATTTTTTTTAGGTGAAGTGTGTAAAATTTATGTATAAATAAATTTATCTTACACATATAGAGGGGTAAAATGAAACTCTAATTAAGAAATGGTGCTTTGTTTTTTTCTGTTGAAAAGTTAATGTGGCAAAAAGTTTTGGAAAAAAGAATTTTAAATAATATTCGTCAGTTTTAAACGATAAATTAACTAACATTGGTTGTTGATATTGTATAAATGTCATAATTAAAAGACAAAATAAACATAAATTAAGTAGAAAGATATTAATGAACAAAATTAAAAAAAAAAGAGGACTTAATTAGTGAAATAAACTAAGTCAAATGAAATTAGCGAATAAAATAATGAACATAACTAAAAATCTAAATAATTTAGTAATTATTTTCTTTCGCTGGATCTAAGAAGTTTTGAATTCAAATCGTATGGATGCAATGAAGTGCGATAAAGCATGGGAGGTAGTTGTTTTCCATTGTGCAATAAAAAAAATATTAATGAATAAACATAGTAAAAAAATAATAATGAATAATTTTTTATTCTATTAATGTTAGGCGAAAACTAGTGTTAAGCCCTTAAACTTTCCTTAGTTTTTCACATAAACTTGCGAAGGAAAAAGGGGTATGTAAACTACTAAATGCGAAAATTTAAATAAATTAACCTTTGTGTGTTAACGGTAAAATTTTGTATGGTCATATAAATTCAACAATTATAAATTTTTTTACTTATGTGGTAATTTTTTTATATTTAGATGCATAAAAAATTAATTATATAATATAAATAATAATTTTAAATTTAAAATATCAAGTAATATTATAATCATATTAAATTTTATTTTAGGTTAAACCTCTTTTTTGGTCCCTTAACTATAGCATGGACCTCTGATTAAGTCCCTTAACTAAAAAAATCCCTAATTTGATCCCTATTGTTTACTATTTTTACCCTACTTTGATTCTTCTGTTAAAAATCTACCCACGTGTGCTGTTAAGTCATGATAAAATGATGACACATCAAAATATTAGTCTACGTGGAAGACAACATGGCAAAAAATATAGTGACATGGAAAAAAATAATAATATGACAAAAAAACTTAAAAAATTCATTCTTTTTTTTTTTTTTTCATTTTCCTTCTCTGTCCCTTTTTCTTTCCCCTCTGGGTTCGACAAACCCAGGCTCTAGGTTCCTTGGAACACATCGTTGGGTTTGATTTAACCCAAGTGCTGGGTTCCTTGGAACTCGATAATTGCGTTCGATGAACCTAGACGTTGGGTTCTTCAACAAAAAAGGAAAAAAAATTTGTGTTCTTGTGGATGTTGTTTGATGATGATGATGCTGATGAATTGATTGATGAAGATGAAGAAATGATTGATGAAGAAGGTAAGGAAAGGAAGGGGAAGGAGAAAGGGAAAGAGGGAGAAGAAAGATAAATTTTAAAATTTTTATTTCTAAATCATTATTTTTTGACATGCTGTCTTTCATGTAGGCTAATATTTTGATGTGTCATCATTTTACCGTGACTTAACAGCACACGTGGGTAGATTTTTAACAGAGGAACCAAATTAGGTAAAAATGATAAACAATAGGAATCAAATCAAAGATTTTTTGAGTTGAGGGACTTAATTAGGGGTCTGTACAATAGTTGAGGGACCAAAAAGAGGTTTAACCTTTATTTTATATAATTTAAAAAAATTATTTTATAATTTAATAACTTATTTCTTATTCAATTGTGTAATTCAAATCGTAAAATACTTTTTATTTTTTATTTCATCTCCGCCAAAAAATTTAAGATAAAATACCCGGCAAAAGGCATCCCAACATTAATCATTTCTAATGCACACGCACCAAAAAAAAAAGAAAAACTAGAAAAAAAGAAAAAAGAAAAAAGAAAAAGAAAAACCAGCCCACCTCTCCCTTTTATCATCTTGACTTTCCTCCTCTCTGCCTTTCTGGTTCGTTTCCCCAATCCAACTCCACCAACAATATGCTAGATCCAGCTAATGATTTGCTCCGGCCACCCTCATCTCCCACAATCTCCTCCGTTTCCTCCTCCGATCTCGACACAGAGGTATGCATTTTTTTCAGTCCCCAAAACAATTAACCCAGTTGGAATCGGAAATTAGGAATATACCTTCCATTCATCTCTTTTTCTTTTCTGCGATTTTTTACAGTCTACAGGTTCCTTTTTTCGTGATAGAAGCACAACACTGGGTACTTTAATGGGTGTGAGTTTCCCAGCAATTACTTTCGGAACACCCTCCCAGAACCGCGGCGGGAACGCCACTACCACTGTGTCGGTGGGGAGGACGAAGCCCAAGAAGCGGGGACTGGCGGCCGTCGCTTTCGGAGGTGAGCGGCGGCTGCACAGGAGGTGGAAGTGGTGGCGGCTGTGCAGGGACGGCGATGCGAAGCCAGCTTCGTTGGGGGAGTTCCTGGAGGTGGAGAGACGGTTCGGGGACGTGGCGTTCTACGACGATGCGGCGGAGCTTGAGGGCGTGATGGGAAGTCATCATCATCAACATCAACATCAGCAGCAGCTGCAGGAGCAGCACAGCAACGGACGGGTACTGTTTGCTGACGGGAGAGTGCTGCCGCCCGCCGTCGATGATGAAGAGACATCAACGGCTGGAGTGCTCTGTAGATTCCCTGTTTTGCTGACTGGGATCTGTAGCGGTGGCGCAGGATAGAGTATCTAACTTCCATTCCATCCTTCTCAATTTTGATAGTATTTTTTTCTTTTATTTAATGTTTTTTTTAATTGTCTTTTAGCTGTTTTAAACTCTCTCTTTTTAAATTATTTTGTGTTATTGCCTTGTCCAATTTGTGATTTTTAATTAGAAATCCTGTTTTTGCCGTCTACATTGTGAACTGGTAAAATAAAAATTTTCAATATCAAGAGTTCACATTTTATTTAATAGATTAAATTATATAATTTTATAATTTTTTGTTTTATCTGTCAAACAGTTTTTTTTTTTTTAAATATGAAAATTATTTCATAAAAAATTTTATAATTTATACTATTTTAAATTATAGAATATTGACTTCTAATTATGAACACTTTCGATATTATAGCCCTCTTATGTAAAAGTTATTTTAGAATAATCTAAATTATAACAATAGAAAGTTACTATTACATCTATGTGTTTGTTTAATAGAGCCTATGGAGCATGAGAATGGGTTTGTTCTGATTGCGAGAAAATGTACGAATAATGACTCAAATATTTGAAAGTTTAGTAGTATTTTTTTTTAAGTGTATAATTTGGGGAGAAAAGAATTTTTTTAAGCGTTAATGAGACTCAAAACTTTAACTAATTAATTTAAACGCTTTAAATTGAAAGCGAATCACTTGAGTTGGAAGGCCTGATCCTAATAGCATTTCTTTTGAAAGGCTAATTAGTGGCAGAAGTTCATTAATTAAGAATTAGAACTTTTAAAATATTATGCAAGTTACCCACCATCTCTGCGGTTTATTTTATATGTATCTTCTTTTAACATTCCATTTCAATAAATTTTTTTCTTATTATTCAACTGGATATAGAGGAGACCCTTTTTTTTTTTTTTTTTTGGGAAAATGGGCAAAGGGAGGCAAGACAATTGAGATAGGAGGGTAGGACATGAAGAAAAATTCAGAATAGAGGAATATTGAGACAATTTCCTTTAAAGTAACATGCAATGTCTAATCCAAGACCCCCAACCAGCCAACAAACTTTTTTTTTTTGGTGGTTAGAGACGACTGACAAGAGAGTTATGAGGGTTTGCCATTAATTTTCTTTTGAACCAGCCATTTCTAGGGTGAGGTGATGGGCTCTTAAAAATTTTTAAATTTAATTGATATTTTATTTATTTATAATTTATTTTTAAAAATTAATTATAATATTTAAGAATATTAATTTATAAATTAATTTTATTATATTTAATAATAAATATAAATTATTTTATTAAGTATTAATTACTTTTAATAATTAAATTAAATTAAATAATTAAAAAAAGTCAATTAATATAATCACACCTTATTTATTTATTTTTTTATTAGGATAAGTGGTTCGGAAAAAAAAAGAGGAAGAAGAGTCGTACCTTTACTATAATAAAAAAAAACTTACATTAAGTTGTTGATCACTAAATCGATAAGCTTTCTTCAACCACACTTTATTTTTAGTTTAGTAATTAATAATATAATAAATAGGCATAATTACATCACATTTATAATTTAATAATATATGATCCCAATAAACGAGACATTTTTTTTGTCATCATTGCCTTATAAGTAGTTCAAATTATTAAGAGCAAGAGGTAGTCTTAGGTACACATTGGAGCTGTTTGGCTAAACTTTGTTTTTTAGAAGTAGCTTTAAGATAAAATTTTAAAATTGCTGTCTCTTTGAATTTAAAATTTGTTAGAGGAAGATTTGTTTTTTAGCCGAAAAAAAAAGAAGAAGAAGTAATTTTAAGCAAGTTTTTGGTGGAAGGTATAAATCTTTCCTTTTAAAAAAAAAAATTACTTAAAAGTTATTCTTTTGTTAAAATTTTCCCCTTCAACAGATTTTGAATTATAAGAGACAAATATTTTGAATTTTTAACTTAAAGACTAGTTAGAAAAAGAGTTAAGGTAAACAACCTCCTTATCACCTAGACAGTTGCTATATTCAATTATTGTTTTTGTATTTTGGTGAAACGAAAGCTTAAGCATGCATGCATTTTATTTATTAAGAAAACATGTGTTTGTTCTCTTTTCTAGGTTAAAAAAGTGACGAAATAAAGCACCAAACCTTACAGGTGAAGTGGTTGGGGCACCCGCAGTCCATGACATTTACTATGGGCGTGTTGTC